ACAGTAGTCATGTATGCAATTCTTGTTTAAAACAATTTAGTGAATATTACCCTGCACCACGTTCTGTCAAACTCAGCCATAGCATTCTCAGGGAACAGTTATCTGGAGCCGGTGATCAGCCAGGCCCCATACCGGGTGCTGGTGGTGAATATAAAGGTTCCATTTCATCCCTGCTCTCGTGGATCTTAAACTCTCCCCTCACTTTTCTCCCTCCTTTCCCCCCCAAAAAACTCTCCTCTTCAATTCCCACTGAAAGGCAAGTTTGGCAGTTGGTTCTGGATTCAGCACACTGAGGCTCACAGAATTTATTTCCACATTGGGTTAGCAATCGCCATGTGGTTTTTTTCTCATCAGTTAAGTCTCTCCCACTCCCCCACCCCCAAGGCAAACAACTATTTTTTCATATACAGAGAATGAACATCTGGAGGATGACATCAACATGACTCTCCAGTTGCAAAAAGGCAAAATTACTCCATCGTCTAATGAAAAAAAATCTGAAAGTCTGGCAATATTTTTCCTTTCATCCTCAATGCCAGACTTCGAATGTACCAGAAAGTGTTCTTCTACTTTAAATTCATGAAATTTTCAGACTTTTTATTTACAAACAACAGTTGGATTAGACATACAGTTTCATCACTCTGATTCTCAACTAGAGTCAGCTCTGAGTCTTTCACAGCAGAGCAGGAACTGTATTTTCACTGCTTCTCCCTCCATCCTCGCAGAGCACCCATCCCCTCTTGAGCACCCATCATGTGCTGACCACTGTTCGAGGCACAAAGCTCCTCATGGACCTTATATTTTCATAGGGGGAAGACAGATAAATTAAAGTGTAAATTATATACTCTGTAGGAAGATTGTAAATGCTCTAGAGAAAACTGACAGCAGGGAAGGCAAATGTGGAGTTCTAGGGATGGTAAGAGGGTTACAAGTGGTTAGAGCAATTCTCCCAGAGAAGGCAACATCTGAACAAAGACTGAAGGAGGAGGAAGTCCCGTGGCTATTGGGGCAAGACTATTCCAGGCAGAGGGAACAGCACATGCAAAGGCTCTGAGGTAGAAGACTGCCTGATACCTTTGAGAAATAGCAACAAAGCCAGTATGGCAGGCAGTATGAGCAAGCATGGTAGGTAAAGAGGTCCAAGAGGCAGTGGGGGGGGGGGGAACGGGACAAAGGGGACCCCATATTTGTCAAATTAACAGTAATAAACAGTAATGAATAATAAGAGGGCTGGCAATTATTGATCTCTTACTATGTGCAAAATGCAATTCCAGATAGGTTATGTGTATTATCTCCTTAAAAATGTAAAACAACCGGCTGCTCTAATATGTATAGAGATGACTTTATGCTTTAGGACACACAGAGCAATAAGTCCAAAACTATAGGAAATAGTTCCCTGAACAAGTTTTTTTTCTTTTTTTCCTGTCTTAACATAACTAAAACCTTTGCTAAATGTTGCAATTAATTTAATTTCCCCATGCATCTTAAAAATAAAAACATAATTCCTTATAAATGTCAGATGTCTTGCTTATTTCCAAGTTGTGGTTTTTTTAATATGATTTTCAAGTCTGTTTCAGTACCACAGGGTTAAAGGGTTCAACTTTTGAAAAGTTAATAAATACCATTTGGGACACTATTCAGAGTTCAAATCCTGCTTTAATAACATCCTTTGATTTGTTTAATGAATCCTTTAACATAACTTCTTTCTTTTCTGATATATATAGTATATCTTAGTGTTTCAGAGTGTTACAAGCTACATCTACTACAGCCAAAAGATATGGTACGTACTGTTCTGCTGGCATGTTCCCTCCTTCCTGCTGTCCTTTCATTTAAAAGGCATCCTTACATATAGAAAATACGCACGCCAAGAGAGCTGGGTTTGCTACACAAAATTAATTAGTGAAAGCACCAGGTGTACCTTCATAAAGAACTTCCATAGACTCTTTATTACTTGGTTTCCACTAATTAGGAAATAATTTGAAAACATCTCCTAAACCCAAAGACATTGTTCAGTCCAGCTCAAAAAACATTAATTGAGCACCTTGGTCAGGTGCTGTGATGATCAAGACAACCCCAGTTGCTGTCTTCAGGAACTCACGGTCTCCAGGGCTGACTGAATCCCAGACCTTCGAGATGAGGGCAAGTCGGGGACGAGCGCATACACTGATGTAGAAGGTGCCAGAATACACTTGTGCTTACTTTTTAAAAGGCCTCTCACCCAAAACATCAGATATCAGCTGTCCTATGTCCAACCAAATATACAGGAGTGATGACTTAAGAAGAGACCTTCCAATAGCAACAAATTAGAATTGGGCAGAGTTTTTAAAGCAATTTTTCAGTATCCAATTCTATGCTTAGAAGTTTCCTCAGGAATTAACTGTTTATTTTTATTCTTCACTAACACTTAAATCACAAGGAGGAAATCTTTAATATCCATTTCCGAGTATTTTGGTGAAGAGAGAGTCAGGGATATGTAGTCAGCACAAATTCATCACAAGAATTAAGGGTATTTTATGCTACAAAACATAATCAAGGTAATAAGACCTAAGTCCAAGCCTATGGATGTATACAAATTGAATCAATACTAATCATCAAATTACATGTGAAATTATGTAAGGTCAAAAGTCATGTGAAACAATCTGTGTGAATATCTAACTTTAGTTAAGCGGGTCCAGAGAAGCACAGCATAAGAAGGGATAGAAAACAACCGAAACTCTGCTCATTAAGCCCTAGTGCCTGCCAGGCTATGAACACTAGGAGGGGTAGACCCTTTTTTCTTATAAGTGCAAAACACCAGATAGGCAAGCAGCAGCCCTACAAAGGAACCAGTATAGCTTCGTGGGGTCACCAGAATCTGACATAAAAAATTTGAATAATTTAATTGACTTGGCTTATAAATATTCAGATTATCACATTTATTTCCTGAAACATAACACAACAAATAAAAGTCTAATATTAAATTGTCTATGACACCGATGGTAGCACTTTATTATGACCCTAACATTATAAAATGTTTCCACCATTTCAAAACTGATTTGAATCAGCATTACCTGGGGAAACCTTTCAAAAGTGCATATTCCCAGGCCCCACCCATTGGAAATTCTGATTCACAGTATGGGGCTGGGGCTTTATAAAAGTTCCGGAAAGAGCAGTGATCAGGCAAGTTAGGCTGAAGCATCAGACTAAGGTGTTCTTAGTCCAAGAACAATGAAGGTAAAATGTAATAAATGGTGTCTTCTCACCAAAAACAGACTATTGTGCTAAGGCTGCCCTCTTATCTTCTAAACACCAAGAGCACTAATATCACTTAGGACCACCATCAAACTACATAGCCAGTAGCATATCTCAAGACCTAAAACAGGTGTGCATGCTTAAATTTATGGAAACTTGAAAAAGAAGTGTCAAAGAGCTAATTGTGAAAAATACTCAAAAATCACTGATTATGCCTCTTCACTCAAGAGGTATCAGAACTGGAGTTTCTAGGAGATTTTTTTCCAGTAAATGTCCCAAATCTAAGTTTTACTTTTTTGTGTGATTGAATACCTTTATCGGTTCTTTTAACATCCTAAATATATAGGATGTTTCATGGAAACTCAAATGACATCTTCTTCCAATAGTCAACTGCAATAAAGTCTTAATTGTGAAGCTTAATAAGAATCGAATCAACCACACTTGTTCCCGGAGAACTGCTCTACAGAGCACCCAGTTAATATCCTGACTGACACATAACATCTGAAACTTCATTTGGAAAGATGGGGGACAGCTTTGGCCAGATTAGTACAGGGACATATTGTTGGACCGAGTCACAGATGTGCAGTATTAAAGGTGTATCTTCAAACAGTGACTTCAGAAACATTTTTCAATGCTTAACACATAAACAAAATCCTACTTAGTCAACAAAAGCGTGCACATTTATTAAAATTTTACAATATGCCTAGTATTCTGCTACAGTGCGAAGACATATTTTGTCTAAACTTTGGTGTTTTTTTTTTTTTTTTTTGAACAAATTGGTAACTTAAGAACCACTACCAACATCTTGAGTATCAATGTTTCATACTGGGAATGGATACGCGGTTCAGTGAAAAAAAAAAAAATACCAGCATTTGGTTTAGTTTGTCTCATTAGAAAACACAGAGTGAGGGTGGGTGTGGGGGAGCTGTCAAACTATACTGGATAGATTCGCTGCCACTAAATAATCTCAGTTGTACAAGGGCAGAAGTAGGGGAGGACAGAAACAAGAACCGAAGAAGTGCGCAGAAAGCTTCCCCTTGCTATCAATAAAGACCTAATTAACAAGGATTTCTTAGGCTGGTAAAACAGTTTTCTGCTTTAATCCCGTGGATATGCAGAGGTAAACTCGGTTGCGGGTTCATTAGCTCCAACCTGAAGCCAAGGACCAGGTGCAGAGAAAGACCAGCCTCGTCGGGAGTCGACTCGCTCAAACACCCGAGAAGGAGCCGAGCCACAGGATTCCAACTTGGAGCGCAGGCAGCACGCTGGTAAGGTCGGCCCGCCGGCTTCCCAGGCCAACCCGGGAAACATTGCCAACCACGCCGCACAAGCCGCAAACGCACACGCTGGGATCCCGGTCGCGCGGGGAGCATAGGCGACAGGGAGGGCCCGGCCGCCCAACTGCCGGGCAGCTGCAAAAGGAGGTCTGAGAGAAGCGTCCCCGCACACGACTCCCCTAAGGCGGCAGGGGTCGTCAGCGCGCAACCCCTGGGCCATGTCACTTCTCTGGGGCCGGAGAGTCGGGAAGTCTGGAAACTGAGTGGGGCTGCGCGGCAGCGAAGAGAGCAAGTGGGGAGACGCCAAGTTGATTCTCTCGTTTAGGGGGGAAGGAAGGAGTGTGGCGGGGGGGTGATCCAAATGCAGTAACTTATTTTACGCTCCAGCCGCCGTCGGCCAGATAGAGAGGGACTCCGCCGGCTGCGGGCGGCGACCCCGACTTCCTCCCGCGCTCGGTCCCTCCAGGCCCCGCCCGCCGGACGCGCTCCACTCACCCGGCTCCTCCGCCTGCAGCCCGAGCGGGGCGGACACCACCAGCAGCAGGGCCAGCAGGCCGCGGCCGGCCGCC